AGCTTTTCTAGTGTGGTTGTTTTTGGGGGAAAAGCAGTTGCTGATACAGCTGTGTTCATATGAGTCATTGGACAAAGCATGGAAAGTACTTCTGGGAGTAGAGATGGGTGAAATCCAAGTAGGAAAAACTATTTCATCTGGTGTATTGAGAGAAAACACCCCATACTTCACAGCAAAGCAAAAAAGCAGTTGGAAGTTAGATTCTCAAAATGGCCATGATTTAAGCAACTAATCCTTGCTGCCCTTCTCTCCCTGGTGCCAGAAAAATGTGCAGCAGTAACAGTGCCAATACCTTTCATCTACTTTGTCTCTTAAGTGCCAGCCTGGTGATCTGGTAGTAATGGAAGCCATTCATTGTTCACCGTGGTTCTCTGTCAGACCCATAATGGCAGTGGTTCAGCCCTGGGAGCAAGGGGCGCTGTGGTGCTTTTTAATTGGTGATTTCTCCATTTCAGGTCGCTGAAAAAGAGTGGATTTTGGATGTGGATTTAGTGAGAGGTGCCTCCCCCCTCCCCAGTAGTGCCTTGCTTTGCTGCCTCAAGAGCACCAGCAGTGTTTACACAGGAAGGGATTGCCCTGGCACACCACTCAGGGTTTTTCCATGCAAAAGGAATTTATTTGAACGGCACTGAGCTATTCAATGAGTGTGCTGTGCCTAGGCTGTGGGATGAAACAAACCTGTGGTGCCAGTTGCTGGCTACTGTGATGAGGGGAGGAGTATAACTACATCTAGACTAACTTATTTTTCCACCCTGTTTTTATCTTCTTCCCATGAAGATAAAACCTTGAACTATGTGCCTGATCCTGCAGTGGGTGTCCTCTTAAGAACCTTTAAATTCTTTTGCAAAAGTGCAAAGCTGTCAGCCTGCTCTGAGCAAAAGAATGGCTCATTGCTAAACTATTCTGAGAAGAAACTTCCGGGGGCATCTCTCAGGTAAAGCATTGAAAATCGATCTCTCATCACAGTGCCACAAGGAGTCAATGTAGCATAACCACCTTGTAAGTTTTTCTTGAAAAGAACAGGGCATGGCTCGGCTCTTCTCCAAGATTTCACAGACATTTTGCAGAATTTGCTAAAACCTCTTCATAGTGAACGTTTCTGAATACAAAATCAAGCCTATTAAGTTTACTTCCCCCTTCCTTACCTATTCATGAAATTGTTGCCACCTAATGGCTTTGTACATGAGCAGTGATGTGCCTGGAAGTCTATTGCACACTTGTTTGGTGCTCTACATGGAGTTCCTTCTGTTCTGATTTCAATGAGCTTCAGCTGTGAAGGAGGTGGGATCTCTGCTTCTGCTCTGTAGTCACTGTTCTGAATTTTCAAGTCTCAGCAATGCCCTTTCAGACTTATCAAAGGCAAGGGTACTGGTGGGGTGGGTGCATTGCATTCCATGATTCTCTCAGAGGAGACTAGTGCCTGCTCATACTTGGACTTGTGGCCTAGTCTGTTCCCCCTTACAGAATCAATTTTAGCTAGAGAAGATTTTTCCTGAATTCTTCATAAAAGATGGGCTCAAGGGCATTGAAGAGGAAGGGAGGGATAGTCTTGTGCCTGGAGATTACACTAGTAACTGATCATTACCAAACTGACAGCAGGGGAGAGTGATTTAGTCATAGGCTTTACATTGAAACATGCAGGCTTTCCTCAGTGGTACACAAATGCTGTGCTGTTGCAAATCAGCTCTCACTGAACGTCATTCCTTACAAACACCATGGGGCAGGGAGAGGGACAAGGCATCTCCACTACTTGGAAAGGAGGGAGAATGTCCTGGACACTACTGTAAAGCAATAAGCAATGACTCCCTGGGGCCACTCTCAACTGCTTTCACTCTTACTACCAAGGCCCAGTTTTGCAAGCTGCTATATGCAGGCAGGCCTACTGAACTCAGGAGGTTTGACTCATGTAGGTGCAGAGATGGCTGTAGTACCTTTTCTAGAAGAAAAATTCAGTCCCAAAGGAGCAGGACTGCTCCTCTGCCTCAGGACATGCTCCTGTGAAGCAAGTGCCAAGAGTCTGCCATGGGATGACCTGACGTACACAAACATCACAGGTAAGAAAAAGACATTTAACTCCGGCTTTCCAGTGATGCTGAGAGCACTTGCATTGAACTTCATGACTGGTGTGCTTTTCTTGCTGACTACGGACAACAATTCTACAGTAACATTCTGGATTCAGCATTGTAACAGGCTGCCTTTGGTCTTCCTTTGAATTCCCAATGGCTGGCAAAAACACAAAGTCTTCCTGAAAAAGCAGAGATAGTTTGCCTGTATGTTATTATCTTGAAGGTACTAACAGCTCACTGTTCATTCAGCTAGAAAACAAACACAACAATGAGAGATTGCATGTGAAGCTGTCTCTGTGGCATCTCAGCTTGCAGGGGCATGAGTGGATTTGAAGAGTTTCAGTTGAGTTTAACACACAGGAAAAGCTGCCTTGTAAATCTCACTGATCTGGCTTACTGCTGCATTGTGAGCAATTGCAGAACTATTGCACTTTCTTACTGGGGGGAAAGAGATTAGCTTTGGGGGTTAATTAATTTTTGAGAAAAGCACAGTTGTTTGTCAGCTTGCTAGTGCCAGTACCCAGGCAGCCCTCCACAAGAGATTAGTGTTCACATGGTTCGTTTCATCGACCTGTTTCAACAGGGCAGCATTAACCTCCTCAAATAAGTAACCTTGAGGGCCAAGGCAGAGTGATGTAAACAAGTCAGGATGAGATTGCTGTTGGGAAATCAAGTGAAACTAACTCCAGCATTGTCGCAGCATTGTTGTTTCTATTTTCCAGAAACACTAGGAACATTAAGGCTTGTGAAATGCTGAAAAAAGAGGGAGCAGCACTGGCTCCAGAATGAAGATGTTCTTGTGGTTACAGATGTTTGGGAGGTATCTGCAGACAAGGTTCAGTGGTCAGTTTTGCCACAGACTTCTGCTCAAGTCACAGCCCAGTGACCAATTCTTCTGCAGAACAATCCCTGTTGTGGAAAAGGCAAGTCACGATGTTTCCTTTGGGGTTGACTACACGAAAATACCTTTCTGTGTCATCAGAAGCATGGGGTGGATGCTCCATAATGGCCTTGGTGTTAAGGGTCTGTAAGAGAGTCATGGCTCAGGTGTGCCAGGGCTCACCTCTCCAGGTGGAGACGAGGGTTATGTAACCACACCAAATGCAAGGGAGGAAGGAAATTCCAAAAGCAACTAGAGGTATGAGAGGAAGGGAGAGAAGGGTGGGTGTAGAGAGAGGATTAAGGTAAGCAGGGTTAATTCTTTATGTACTCCAGGATGTTAATATGCATAAAGGGGAGTTCCTGGCAGCTAGGTGAGGTGGGCTTGGGGGCAAGGACATGAAAGAAAGTAAAAGCTGTACTCCTGCCTGTCTGATGAAAGCAAAGGGCAAACACTTAATGGAAAAGTGCTCTGTCTGTAGAGACTGGAGTATGATGTCTAACTTGAACTCAAATATTGGACTTATGCAAGGGTTACCTGCTGAATTTTGCTTCCATCACGTGACTGTGAGGCAGTAGACTGAGGCATTAAACAGCTGTTCTTGCAACCTGGATAGCCACTCTTTAGGGAGGGTATTAGCCTCCCTCCTATCATTTGAAAGGATGTTTGGAGAGGAAGGAACAGGAAGAGGGGCTACTTGGATAACCTCTAATAGCCTGAATGGTGAAAGAGCTGTTAAGTACACATATAACACCATCCAAGTGAGAAGCTTCTGACCAGTTATAAGAAAATGAATGCAAATTTCTTTATGCCAAGATTAATGAAGTAGTTTTTTAAACCTTGGTAGAAAGTCCTTTTTGCCCTATGTTGGTTCAATTAAAAATTTATGCTTTTTGTTTTGTATCCCCCAAACCTCCCTCCTGCTGACCTTGCTTCCTAGCTTTGAGTAGAGCAGCTCTTTTTCTTGCTATGCTTATCTTCTTGATGTCCCTGTAAACATTCGTACTTACCTAATGATTTGGATGTCTGTAGTCTGTATTGTTTATGGCAAGGGGATCTTTACAGCTTCTGAAATCTATTTTGATGATCTACTAGTACTGGCCTCTCACCCAGTGCTGCTCTGTGGTGACCATGTGCAGAACTACTGCTGAAAATCACAGTTGCCCTGACTAAATGTAAGCATTTTTCTAATCTTAGAGGCATGTGGAGAAAAAAATGTTGAGGAAAGGTTGGGAATGGTAAGCAACTGTGTGTGTTTTGGTGATTTGTGTACAACAGTTTACAACTTCCTCATGAAGGGAAGAGGCAGGCACTGATCTCTTCTCTCTGGTGAGCAGTGACAGGACTGGAGGGAATGGCCTGAAACTGTGTCAGGGCAGATTTAGGTTGGATATTAGAGAAAGGTTCTTCCCCCAGAGGGTGGTTGAGGACTGGAACAGGTTCCCCAGGGAAGTGGTCACAACACAAGCCTTAACAAGAGTTTAAGAAGTGTTTGGACAATACTCTTGGGCACATGGTGTGACTCTTGGGGACGTCCTGTGCAGGTCCAGGAGCTGGACTCGATGATTCTTGTGTGTCCCTTCCAATGGTTTTATTAGTTTTGAAGGGGGACAAGGATTACCTTTTTCCCAGTTCTTGCCCTATTGCTGTGGCAAGACTTGCCTCCTTCTGATTCCTCAGCTTTTTGTGAAAGGGGAAAGCTTTTCCTGTTCTCTCACGTTTCTTGCCCCATCCCTGAAAACAAGGAAAACCCCAAGGACTTGGAGCAGATGCCAAGAATCGGGATGTTCCACGAGGGAAGGACATCCTGCTGCCCCGGGACAGGGCGAGGCTTGGTGCGCTGCGAGGAGCCGCAGCCCTCTCCCTCGGAGAGGCTGGCTCGGCCCTTCGCTGCCTCAGGCGGCGCCGGCCCGGCCCGGGAGCGGGTTCACCGGAGGAAGGGTTGGCAGGAGGGGCCGGGCGCTCCGAGGGGCGGCGGCCATGTCGGGGGCGGGCCCGAGAGCCGGGCCGCCGCGTATAAAGCTGGCTGCCGGCTCCGCTCTTGCAGCGGGAAGCCCTGCCGTGTTCTGCGATCGCGTCCTCGGCAGCGGCGCTGCTTTTCCGGCTGTCCCGCCCGTCCCGAGGCGGCGCGGAAAGAGACCCGCGGCTTCACTGCTCCGCCGCGGCTGCTGCTGCCTCCCCCCCGGCACCCTCCGCCTCCAGCGGGGCGCGGAGGCCATGTTCCCGCCGGACTCCACCTGGAATATCTCCTTCGCCGGCTGCGGCTTCCTGGGGATCTACCACGTCGGCGTGGCCAGCTGCCTGAAGGAACATGCCCCGTTCCTAGTGGCCAATGCCAAGAAGGTGTACGGCGCCTCGGCCGGGGCGCTCACCGCCACCGCCCTCGTCAGCGGCGCCTGCCTCGGTAAGCGTGGGCCGAGCCCGGCGCAACTATGCGTGTTCCCTTCGTTACTGCTAATTTGTTAATTAGAGCACCAGCGAGGGGATGTGGGTGTATCTATGTATGTGCGTGTAAATAGCGCTGCGCCCGCCTCCTCCCGAAGTGCGAGCGGCGCTTTGTTTTTAAGGCCTTTACCCCCGCCGCGGTCCCTGCCGGGTGGCTGAGGTCAGGGAGGCCCCGATGGTAGAAGTCAGCACAGGGCTCCTGGCTCTGACACCACCCACACAGGCATCTATAACGTGGACCTGCTGGCTCGGTTTGCGGGTTTACCTTGCTCGGGTGTAGGAGAGGAGCCTCTCGCCGTGTGGGCACTGGCCTTTGGTGGCTGTGAACGGGAGGTGAAGCGGCTGGAGATGGAGACCCGGAGTTTGTGTGTGCAGATGGGAGCTGGGCAGCATCTCAGAGGAGCACAGCCTTCAGGCTGCGTGTTTGTTTCTGGAAGAGTGTTATTCCTTGGGGATTCCACTGAGGAATTCTCTTGTCCTTTGCAAGAGCTAGATCTCCAGTTTAGCTAGATTTTATCTCTGTTTGCAAGTTACAGAATAACCTTAGAAAGTTATCTCTGAAGCAAGCATAGTGTGTGAAGCAAGTATACGGTGTGTCCCTGTGCCTGGGGAACAGCTGAAGAAAATGGTCTGTGGTGCCTCCTGGCTTTCTTGTCATTTTATATATAGGAGGAAGCTAACAAACACATGTTAGAGTCTGTACTTGGAAGCTTTTATGTTGAGAATAACAAATGCAGAAAAATTTCTTAAGCTTGAGAGGGGATTGTGGTGTGAGAGAATCGGGTCTATCTGTTTAGTCTGAGAATTATGAGCCTCTCCTAGAGATAAGGGCAGCCAGAGCTGTTTATTGCTTGAAGTTCTCTCATTTTGACAGGTGTTTTTCCACAGCACTCCTTTCTGAGATGTAGCCCTCATGCAGCAAAAGTTAGTATTTTCTGTGTAGTTAGGTTTGAAGTTTCCCTTCCTGAGCATTTTGTTTACAGAAATGCCCAGTGAAGTGCATCTGTAACTTCTGGAGCTCTTAACAGCTGTTCAGATCCCAATCTGAGATCTCAAGGCTGTAGTGATGCCTTGGTGCTAACTATTACTGTGGACAAGGGATAATAATCCCTAATCCCACTTTGTGTAGGGATTCATTTGCAGGTAGCTGCCAGGGATTCAGTTGTTTAATTGCTGTTGCTTCTGTTGAGGAGGTGACTCCCCAATTAGTTCCCTAACTGGGTGATCCCTCTGCCACTTGAAGGCGTGGCACAAGTGTGAGACAGCCTGACGGTAGTGCCCAAATCCTTTGCCTTGCTCAGATGCCATCCTGGGTGCTGAGCAATCCTGTTATCATGTTTACTTTGTCCTGGCTATTTATATATCCAGAGCATCCATGGTGTGCCAGGCACTGCCCTGAGGGAGGCATCCAGCCTGTTGAGAGCTTTCTGTGAATCAGAATAGGTTTTCCCACTCCCTGTGAGGTACGGTGGGAGTGTAAGAGGACTGGGTTAGGGGCCACCTGCTGGGAAACGTTCACTTAGCCCCTGAAGGAGGGCAAACCATGCTCTTTAAAGCTAACCAAGGCTTGATCTTGGGTGTTCCAGTTCTGTCTTCCATTTGTCTTCTCTGAAACTGTTTTCTTCTGACTCACCTGCATGACTGACATGTATCTTGGGTAGAGAGCAGCTCTAAGGCATCACAGTTGACTTCTGAAAGTAAAAGCACATGGGATGCGTGGCCGTACCTTGTCCGTGTCATAAACCCTTCTGACAGTGCAGCTTCCAGCCAGAGGGCCAGAGGTTAGAATGAAATCATAGAGGTAAAAGAGGACAGGGCAGAGGGTACAGCTAGGCCTGAACTAGGAGGGCAGTTCATTCTCATACAGGCTCTTACAGGGTCTGTACCTGTGTGTGCTGTGCTGCTGAGAGCAGGTGTTAGCCTGTGGCCTTTGAATCCTATGGCAGCTGCTGCTCTGCACGGTCACTTGCCCTGTCCATGGAACTGGAATGCTAAATAGTGTCTCTTGATGAATGACAAAGGGGGAATTTTGCAGAAAGAAGCCTTGCTTATTTGACTGTGTGTAGATAAGGTTAGTGTCTTCATGCCTGTGAACTCAAGAAGACTCTGCTGTGCAGAGACAAATACTTGCAGGGGAGGAGTGTAAAAACCTCTTCCTTGGGGGTTTTTTCATGAGTCCAATCTTTTGAGACCCTGATCAGAGAGAGCAGAGAACTTGCCTGACTTCAGAGAATAAGATCCCACTTAGTGGTTTCTTTCCCAGCTTTTTCTCTCTGGCCTTTGCATCTGTTCACCTTGTCTGTGAACTCATTCTGCCTTCTCTGTTCGTTGAGACCTCACTGTTATCATCTGTGTAGGACAGGAAGGCTTTGCTATGGGCTGACACTGAACTGAAAGCCCTGACCAAGTGATCAGCAGCCTTTGGAGCACACTGTGGGCTTCAGAGGTGTGCTTGAGAATAGCAAAGAGGGCAACATTGGGTGTGCATATTACTTAGGCAGGGCACCTTATATTTATATAAGAGATCAGGAGGTATTTGCAGTCTGATATGACCTTGCCTAGCTCTGGTTAAGCACTTTACCATTAAGTTGTAGGGATCTTGGATTTGTTGTTCAAGGTTACGACGGTGATGTTGCCCTGCATCTGAAGTGCTCTCTCTCCAGCTTTGAGATCCTTCTGTTTGCTGGCATGAAAAAGCAGTGCAGTTTTCCCACTAGCATAATCTATGTGGCTATCAAGGTGCATTGGGCAGTCTCCAAATTTCTTGACTGTGCATAGTGCAGTGTTGTGGCATGAACAGCTTCTTGCCCCAAGTAAATTCTAGAAAATAGCCTCTGTAATGCCTATACCATCTCTTGGGGCTCCTGGAGTCCAGCACACCAGGAAATGCACCTTTATGTGCCAAGCAAGTGGAAAGTTCTCATGCTGGCATTGCTCTCTCCTCTTTGTGTGTACCTCCAAACCTGCAGCTTTTCACAAATTCTAGGTGTGGAGCTTTGAGGATGGTTCCCTGTCTGTATAAATCTGAAAGTCACCGGCCTGGATGAGAAAAACTGGCATATGTGACATGGTGAGACGGTCCTCTTTCAGTCAGGAGGAATGCTAAAGTGCAGCTACTGCAGGATTCTTTCATCCCTAATACTGAGTAGGGAATGTAGTTTGGTAAGGTCTGGAATCATCTTGCTTTGGTGAGCTGTATGGGGTTTGTTGTGCTTGGTTTGGAAGCATAGCAGCGGTAATAAATGATGAGATCTGAAGCTGTATTCACTGAAAAGCTGTCTTTGAGCTGGTACTAAGGTCCCTCTGACTCATAGTTAACCAACAGCATCTCAATTGTCTGCATGTGAATGTTTTCCTAGACAGTCCTATCTGAGGGTGGGTTGGAACTGCTGAATTGCTTCTATTTTGGGGGGAAGGGGTGGGTTCTGCTGTCAAATGCAAAGCTGGCTATCAAACCCCATCTGTGGAAGTTAGCTGTTCTCCTAAAGCATGGCAAGGTCAACAGAAAATGAAAAAGCAAGCTGAGGAGATGCTTTTGGTACTAAGAATAAAGCAAGGAAGCCATATGTTGCTAGATTGAGTAGTGTTGTTTGGGATGCTCTTTGGAGAGCACTTCTTGGGTTGTTTACAGCATTTTAAAATTTAATTATTTTAAACTGCTATCTTAACCAGGACTCTGTCTCAGGCTTGACGTGAGGTGACATAACAGTTATTTGACATTTGGATTTGCTTGTCAGCTGTCACCATGTGACCACCAGGAAATGTGCAGCTGAACTGCAGAGACTTTTCCACTGGGTAGCAGGAGCGAAACAAAAAAAAAAAAAAAGCCCAATGAACAAAACCTTTTGAAACTGAGATAATTAGCAATATCAACATCTTAAATGTTGTGCTTCTGCAATTTGATTATGTGCATGCAAAGGCTTAACAACTGATCATGGAGATTTACTTTCTCCGTGTTTGTGTAATCTTAACACCAAATCCCAGATTGATAGAAGGAAATAAACCAGCTTAGAGTCTGTGGAATCCTCAGAGCAATGCCAGTTTATGCTGGCCAAAGCATGAATCAGGATGCTTATCCTAGGGGAAGTGTATGTGATGCTGTCTTCTGTGGCTGTGTGAAGAGAGCTGTGGATCTCCACAGGGACGCAAAGGGAAGTTTTGTAGCATCTGTGGTGTCTCAGTAGTTAGGTCCCTCCTTGCACAGGTGATGGGCACTTGTACCTCCTGCAGGGGCTCTCCCTGGAGAAAAAGCTGTTGAGGTCAATAGCCCCAGCCCAGGAAGGAGAGACACCTTTATGTACTTACACTGAAATACAGATATAATTAGTGGGAACCTTCTGGTGCTTCTTGGAAATGGTGATGCTTTTTTCTGTGGTGGAAATAGAGGTGGAGGGGAGATGTGCTGTGCTGACATAGACGGAAATGTTCGCTGGCTTGGTGGAGAAGCTGCTGAGCCTGGATCAGTGCCCTCAGCAGTCGCAGGGCTGTGGGATCAGGTGTCCAGAGCAGTAAGCTGGCAGCCAGAGCACCCTGTAGGAACTCTTGATGGGAGGGAAGGAGCCTGTTCCTGCTCTCTGCCTGGCTCTAGCAAGAAAGCTTCTGTAAGGAAAGGTGCTCTTGCAGGCATCTCGCTGGATGAGTGCAAGGGAAGCCAAGGAGCCACTTCTAGCAAAAAACAGTCCTAGCAAGGCATGGGTTTGTTCTTCTGGCACCCCATATAGACAGCAGGTGTGCAGAGCAGCTCAGTGCCCAGCCTTGCTGTCAGCAATGGCAGCAGCTGTGCCGTGTCACTGGCAACAGCACGAGAGGTGTTTGGTCATTCTTCTGACCTGTAGGTTCATCATGTCTCTTGAACTTGCAGCAAGTCTGAGCTGTTCCACTTCTTTCTACCTCTTAGCTCCCCAAACTCTTCAAGGCAGCTGCAAGTCCTCCATGTAAAATAGGAGAAGCTGTTGTGTG